TCGTTATTTTTCTTGTTTCATAAACGTTTTCTAAGTAGGCCAAAGAAATTGCTTATCAGCGGCGGAAGTAGGTCACAAGCGCATGATAATGCACAATTAATTAATCGAAAAAGAGTGTGTAAAAAATGACACGTGCGCCGCCGAAATTTCGAATCATTTATGAAATACACTGGGGTCCCGTCGCGGATCGATATTCGATCTCGAATGGATGAAATTGCATTCAGACGCAAGTCGAGAAATAACATTTATTCCAAAGCAATTCTCAAAGCGAGTTTTCTGCATTCGCGTTCGTCGTGATTGTTCTCTCGATTGCGATTCCAAAATAAAACTTTCTGCAACCAACATGAAAATATCGCAAAAATGATTTTTAGCTGTTTTTATATAATATTGTATATATGCTAAGAAACGTATAGAAATTATATTCCGAAATATGCTTTTAATCTGGAAGTATTGAAATATTTAAGAATAATTTTTATTGCACAATTTGCATATACAGCTTACGATAAGCAAACATTAAAAAAAAAAAAGATCTTACTGTAAAAATAAAAAATATTTTTTTTGTATTACTAAAATTGGAGCAGAACGAGTGTTTCACTTTTTTTAATATGTCATCATCGATTAATAAGATAATATTTCAAAAACGATAAGGCGAGTTTTCCACGTTTGCCAATTATCCTCTTGATTATGGCTTCAGTACAAAATTTCTGCAAGCGAAAAATGGAAATGTTGTGGAAAATATAGATTTTCATTGTTTTTTAGTACTTTGTGCTGAGAAATATAGGAATTTATATTACGAAACATGTTTCCAATCACTTGTAATTTTACTTACCTTAATATGCCGTCGTCGTCGATTAATAAGACAACATGTAAAAGGTAAAAGTAACGTAAAGAGATTACTTGCGCAACAATAATAAACATCATTTATCCCCCCCCCCCCCCCTCCGATTTAATCTTATTCTATAATAATAATCAGTTTCTTTCTTATTCTCAGTAGTGCCGCGCTACGATGACCATGACGTCGACGGTAATAATCATGATAACAATAATCAGGACAATAACTGTGAGCCGTTGATTGTAAAATGGCAATCGGATCTTCTAATTTACTTATTTAAAATACATGATACGAGAGTTACACGAGATACTTTTTTTATCGTTCTCTCGTCCGTTTCACTTTTATTCGGATTCAATCACGGTGAATCATCCGTGGATTGTCCTCGAGCCATTTTACAATCGCCCCGCTCGTGTGCAATAAAGCTATTAATAATTGTACAATAAATGCATATGTGAACAGAAACTGTAACTATGGAGGATATACAATATCGAGGTAGTCGTATATCCACGTCGAACCGTTTTCGAAGTTGCGTCTCCATGCTTCGCGTAATCGCGAGTCAGAATATAATTCAAGGTAAATTCGATTTAAGAGATTCCCCTTTCTGGATTCCGAAAAAATAAAGTTTTTTAGGAATTTTGTAAAGAAGACTATTTATACAAACGTTTTGAACTTTTTACACGTAAAAGGTATATGTTTTATGAATATCTGTGAATTTTTTTGCGTCCATATTTGCTCTTCCTTCTTCGGCTAAGAAATTTAAAATGTTTGAGTCAAATAGTTTTCTTTACAAGATTCCTAAAAACACCTTATTTTTTCCGGCTAATAGAAAGGAATTCCTCTTAAGAGGTGAAAAGTGCCTCCGACGCAAACGACAGCGAAATTAGAGTTGAGGATGGAATTTCTTCGGTCGAGCGACACCGTTGCAATCATTATCTCCTGTTAATTGAAAACACAATGGCGATCGTAGATGCATTTCCGGAACGGCCGGCGAACAGGAGTATTCCGCGAATCTTTTGTGATGCAATTTTACGACGAGAAACAGATGTCTGGTGTGCCTTCGGCAATCTGATATTGAACGTTTGCAGTAACGAGACGTAACTTCGAATCTGGTGACACGAAATACAGACCAGCGATTCTCATGATGGACTGTTCGCTTTCATTCCTCCGCACAGCTAACACTAGACGCATTTATATTTTATGCCTCAGGTAAATTTCTCTAAGAACGCGCCGATAGCCCCGTATGACTATCGAGTGCCGAAATATTTCCCTAACATCGTAGAAACGCGACAATTAACGTCATCAGTATTTTAATTGATTTAATGAAATTTTAAAAAGCGGTGTAGGTAAGAAATATGAAGTACACTTTGAATAAAAAAAAAAGATTCTAAGCTATAATAAATAACATATGTATACATACGTATGACGACATAGTAAGAAGTGTAAATTGACAGGTCACGCAAAAATGAGAAGAAAGGATATTGATTAAAATTAAAAAAGGATTTTTGCATTAAACACATCGATATAAAACTGAAAAATATAAAGAAACAGTTTTGCACGTTTGTGTAAATTAATACGGATAAATTTAAGGAGAAAAACGCTTTATGTATCTTCATTTAGTAAAATCTCTTTCGATAATTATTATTATCAATCAATAAAAAGAATTATTGATCAATAATAATAATTATTTGGAACACAGTCCGCTTCTCGATTTTCAACGCCTTGTTTACCAGATTTGCTCTATTTATCTGCTGTTTGAAAATCCAAACTTTAATATGCGATAACGCATCGTACAATACACAATAATTAATTCTTTATACAACTCGTCGTAATATACTATATAATATATAATAATAATGATCATACAACTAACAGTTTTTATAATGTTATTCATCTTCGAGACATCGGCCCGAGAAAGAGTCGTCTCACTACGATAAACTATACGAGATTCAAATGCAAAACGTCCTTTAAGAACGTGCAACCACTCACACGATGACAGATACGAACGACTCGTTAAATTAAAACATGTTCCGCGACTCCTATTATAGATTCTGTACTTACATTATTCATATAATTATTTATTTACTCATTTATATAATTTCTCTTTCTGTACTTATTTTTTTTGCTTTCTTTCTCTGAAAATCTCTAAGCTATGTTATATTATAAGGACTAGTTACACGATAGGATTTAATTTAACTATGTGTACTCAACAAGCCAGTCTAGCTTTTCGACGCGTCGTCTGCCATGTTTGACGGCGGTCAGAGCATAAAGAAACACTTGAACACTCGGGATGATATCCGTCATCCATTTTGGTGCCAGGAAACACCTCTCGATTGTACGGCAAGATCGCACCGGGCATGATCTCAAGCGCGCGTCTCCAAGCACTTACAGCTAAATGATCCTCTCGATCGACGTTTCGACATTCGACGCGACCGTTTCCCGTATTTCGTCGGTCTATGTCGAAGGATGTGTGTATGTGTGTACTTCCCCATGTCTTATTTCTAATATTCTTTAGGCGATATTCTACATCGATTGCTATAACGTACGAGCCACTTCAAAGCGATATCCACGCGCGAACCGCGCAAACTTTGCGCATACTGTTCAAGAATTAAAATCCATCTATTGATGATATAGCGAATATAGTTTTCAACCAGTCGACATCAACTAAAAGTAATATTTCATACACACCTCTAAAAGACGTCCAGAGAATGTCTCTATGCTTTCTAAACATTCTAAAGACGTTCCCAGGATATCTCTTGAATAAAATGTGCTATATGTAACATCAATGTCATAATTTCGCATTCAACAATGTAACTATTATGTGACATCATATGTTAGGGCAGAAGCACAAATTCTTGCATAACACATAAGACATAAGAAAATCAACCAATCAGATTCTTTTATTTCACAGAAAAGAAGGAAACGAAGGACTTTGATTGGTTAATTTTCTTATGCATCATGCGTTATGCATTATACAAGACTGTGCTTCTGCTTTTTATATTAGATTTGTTCTTTTTAACTTTTTTTTGCATGATTCATCTTTTTTCTTTTCCTCTTCATGTTGAAAGAAAAAAGATGATCCGTGCAAAAAGTTCACCTAAAAAGAACAGACCTATTACATTTATATTGTTAAGTATAAAATTATAACATTCGTGTCATGTTACTTTAAATTTGTATCGACTAGGAACGCATCTCATGTCGCTTTGATTTGTAAATTAAGCTGCGCGTTTCGTAAAATTCTACTTACGAATTTTACAAAATTGGTGTATCTTATTTTATGCAAGCTTGGGCAGATGAGAAAAACTTTTTACAACGATCGATATAAATGTGGGCGTCAATGTAAAGTTTCCTCGATACTTTTTCTGACGTAGCTCGTACATCGTCCTGTGCTTCTTATTAATATTAAAAAATACAATATGCGACAATAATAACTATGGCGGAAGCGGCCGCGGCGCGAGTGAGAGCGATAATTAAGGCGAGAAACGCCGAAATGTCGATCTCAGGCTGGACTAGAGTCTTATCGTAAAAAGAAAGGAAAAAGAGGAAAAATATTTGACATATCGAGAAAACGCGCGCTACAATCGGTCCTACTATCTCTGCCTGTCTTAAAGTGTACGCAAGATACGATACGAAATGTACAAGCGGACTCGATTTTGTATCGGGGATACAAGGGGAACGGCGTAAGCCGAAGAGAAAAAGACCAAATCTGGACGATTCCGTGGCTTTCTCTCTTCACGAGCCTCGATTGTAGACTTGCGGATTATTATCGATTTATCCGTCCTACAGCTTCCTATGCCGAACGAGATGAACAATCGCCGTTATTGAACTCTCGTCACAGCGATAACGTATTTTATCTCGCTATATATAATTATAATAATGTATGTATATAAGATATTTTGTATCGACTATTTGCACGAGCGCGAGCATCGACAGACGGAATCGTTTACGGATTCGATTAATGGCCGATTGATCCGTGTCGACGGGATTTCACTCGATTTGATATCCTCTACAAGCTGGTTACAAAAATTCTTTCTTCCGCCGTGTCTCTTATTGATGTGTACGTTTGAGTCATCGCGCTCTTTCCTTTCTCGTCGATAGTTTCAATGGAGAGTTTTTCTCATAGAGCCAGTCACCCCCCTTCTCTTTCTCTCTCTCTCTCTCTCTCTCTCTCTCTCTCTCTCTCTCTCTCTCTCTCTCTCTCTCTCTCTCTCTCTCTCTCTCTGTCTCTGTCTTACGTCGCACGCGAGTCTGCGAGCTTGAACGGCAAGATCGATTGGCGACGCTGGCGTGTAACTAATAGAGCGAGTCGCGCAATTCTATACGCGGCTCTTGTAACAAAGATACTCTTACGGTTTATCGAGACGTTATTTTATCTACGTATATCACACTAGAATCCACGGTGTCTGCAGGCGCTTCTTCGTACGTCGGGACACACGCTGAGAGTTCCGCCCGCAGAACCCTGAAAAACAAAAATTTATACATAATTCATATTCGCTAATCATATTCATTATCGTTGAGTCACGATTCTTGTCTTGTCTTGATTAGATACCCTCTAAAGTAAGAGTCTGGACACTCAGAGTGCGTTCTACTTCCTAAGGAACACATCAAGTCAAGAGAAAGTCAAAATGATCTTTTGACATCATGAAAGTCGAAATGATTTTTTTATTACAAAAATTTGATTGTTTATTGATAAAATTATGCTTGAGTTTCCTATGATTATTTTGATAGCTCGACAAATTTTCAGATCCGTATCTAAATTTTTGAGATATTTCAATAGTCTTTCTTTCAATTCTTATATATTTCGCTTAGTGTTTCAATTTAATTGCTTAGCTAACACGTCGCTCTTACCTGTCATTGTTTGGCGGAATGATACCTAGCTAGCTTCATTTGCAGCGGATTAGATATCTTCATATGAAAGGCGATGTCGTCCAAGGAAGCGTCGCGGACGTCCAATCCACCAATCGCTACAAGCTGATCACCTTTGCAGATCTTACCGGTTTCGATAGCCTGACCGCCCGCTGTCTGTAGAAGTAGAAGTCGATAGAATGCGATCAGCGTAAATTATGAAACATAGATATTGTATATCAAGATAGAATTGGAGAACCGGACTTACTAGCTCCTTCACGTAGACCCCCTTGTTGCTCCAGAACGCGGCGAAACAGAGACCAGCTCCTTTACCGCTCTTTTTCTGTATCTCGACCTCGTATTCCTCGGCTGGTTTCTCATGACGCAACACCGTCATCGTGATCTGTAAACGACCAACGAAATCGAGTCACGCTCGCTCAATCAATCGAACGAGGATATATAATTTACCAATATTGCTCATATAAATTATATTATTTATACACTTGGAAAATTTGTATTAAATTTAACACAAGATGAATAGATTAGATGATAATAAAAAATATTAGGTAAAAAAATACAAAAATATAACACTGACACAATTTGTAAGCATATTTCTTCAATAAAATTAACATCTACAATATATTAAATTAACAGATATTTTATTCATTCTTCTTAAAATTTTCGTTTTAAAATACATAATTTTTATGTTATTTTTTCACTTACTCATAAATTGTGTCATTTTGACACTAAAGAAATGTTGAATATGAATTTAATATAAAATATTGGAATAATATAATAATATTGTGTTAAATCAATACTTGGACATGTTAAAAATCCAATATAAAATTTTAACAAAATTGGATGGACAATTTCAACATAAATACAAAATGTCGTTTGCTGTGTATAAATTATGTCTCAAAAGAACTGTCCTATATCTTCTTTTCGTTCATTAAAATGAGTGTGATTATTTAACAGAGTATAATGCTACGTACAGTCCCAGGAGCTTGCTTCAGGACTGTCTCGCGAGCTTTGTCGTACTCTATTTCCATGAAGCTTTCATTGCCTATGCTGAGAATCTGATCGCCTAGTTGTAACCGGCCGTCCTTCCCAGCCGCGCCTTCAGGAGATACGTCCAGAACGAACACCCCGTTCTAGAAGAATTGTTATCTCTCAAGAGTGCAAATATTAACATCGATAATTGTTTAATAATTACTAAATTGTTATTAATATTTTTAAAATTAGTATATCTATATTTAACTTATGATATTTGTTACTTATTGCGTTCTACATTTTAATAGAACGTCTCACGATTTAAAAAATAAAAAAAATTTTGAAAAGTATCACGCGAATAAGTTAAATATTCAATTTGTATGTTGAAAATTATTAAATACTCACACAAGGAGTGTTAGAACCGCCAGCGATATAGAAACCTATACCTTGGTTCTTCTCCTTCTGAAACTCTATCGTCGCTTCTTTGCCGACTTGGATCTTGCAAGTCTTGGGATCCTGCCGAACCTTCTTCTCTTCAGGTTCTACTGGTTCCTTGCCGGTCGCTAACATTACAATAGCGGGGAATTAAACATTAAATAGAAAATCATATATAGTTTCAAGAACGAAATGTATGCGTGTGTTATTACGAGATTTTTCGTAAATAAAATATATGGCCAAAACATATATGGAAAAAACGGTTTTGCTGAAATATCTAATAATTTAACTAGATACAGATCTGAAAACAATATTGTTGAATCGTCAAAATAACGTAAAACGTTTGAACGTTGATAATAATGCTAAAAAGTTTTAACACTGTAGCAACCAATTTATAAGCGTCCTATATAATTATTTTTATGGTTCAACAAAATTAGATATTTTCAGATCTGTTTCTAGTTAAATTTTTAGGCACTTTCTCAAAATCTTTTTTTTTTCGTATAAAGACGCTAATCACATTATTAAACTCACCCGAAACTGTGCCACTCTTTTGCGGGGTCTTCTGTGCAACCGAAGTTAACAAATCATCCTTAAGTTCTTTAGTCTTCTGTTTCTCCTTCTGTTCTTTATTCTCGTTAGGATTGCAAACTACTAGCTTAACGACACCTTCCGCTTTCTTCAATAATTCCGTCGCCTAAAAAAATTAGAACCAAGTAGAATATAAACTGCCTAAATGTATATATATATATATAACACCTAAATTGGTAAAATAAATCTTTATTTAAAGAAAGGAACGTGAAAAATACGAACCTCATCGTACGTGCGGCCTAATAAGCTGTCCAGATTAACCGCCAAGATCATGTCCCCTACTTGCAATCCAGCCTGAAATATCGGTCGCGTTATAAAGTACACGAGTTTCGCTTAAAATAGGTCTCTCAAGATCGTAAGTACGAACGAAAATTACCTGTTCCGCCGCACTGCCTTCTTGAATGTCGGACACGAAAATGCCTTGTCCTACGGCTAGATGTTTCCCTTCGATGATCATTATGCCGAGGCCGTACTGACTCTACGAATTGATCGACAATTAATTTTAGAAAGTAAGATTGTATAAAATATTGACTGGCTGACTAATTTTGTATAATTATAGTCACTTGCCTTCTTCACTCGCACGTCACGAACTCCTTTGTACTTCTTGAAATCTATATAAACCTGTAACACGTGAAATGTCGTCTAGTGTTCCACGGCAATATGATACAGCAGCTATCAAATACTCCAAAGTATAGAATTATATAATTTTATCTTGTAAAAAATGTTCAAATAAATTCACCGCATCTTTGATATCTTTTTCTTATCACATGATCTACTGGACATTCTGTATAATTTAAAAATAATTTTTACATCGATGCTCAACAGATTTGAATGTTTAAATTTGTCCTTTTTCAGATGATAAATAAACTGTCCTTTATATATTAATAAGTAATTCAGCTGTTTTATTTCAAAATATTCACAAAATATTCATTAAAATTTGTCATCATTCGTTTATATGTTCATTAAAATAATTATACAGCACTTTTTTCCTTGCAGTCGCTGTTAATTGCAACAAGTCAAGTATATTATTATGATGGAACAATCAATTGCTTTTCATTGATTATTTTACGAGTACTACAACCGGTACGATAAAGATAAAAAAAAAGGTGGACGCCACGAATTGACTTACGTCATCCAAGGTTGGTGGAAATTGGACTATCGGCTTTACGGCGATGTCGTCGACAGCCTTCGATCGTCTGCAACCGGGACAGGCGAAATCCGTTTATAGTTTTAATGAATTTTGTTATACATGTCGTCTCTACGTCATGTTACGTCATGCATCGCGGAAAAAGCTCTGAGTATCTCACCGATAGACGATGATTTTGAAGAGAGTACCGGCCATGCCTTTGATAAGAGCGGAAGCGTTCAGATGACAGCGTCCTTGCAATACGTAGCCGTTTACCTAAGTGGAACAGAAAATATTTTATCTATTTTTAGTATTTACCATATTACGTAGAATGAAACGCATAACAAAACGCGACTTGTAAAACGCCAGCTAAGAAACAAATGTAATATTCTTTTTATTGTTAGTAGGTGCCCTATAAAGATAAAAATAATTTTAATAAAAATAAAATAGAGGCTTGAGTGTGTGCATTTGGACATGACTTAATTTTTTCTGATCCTTTCTTTGACTCACGGTTAACTTTCAAATTATTATATAATTTTTTAAAATTACATATATACTTACTTAAAATTCTAAATATTTTAATTATATTCTAAAATTCTCTCTTATCAATGTAAAATTTGAAGGCTTATAAGGTTTTTTCCCTAATGAAAATTTTTCTCTGAATTTTTCATATAATTTTTCAAAAATTTCATGTAAATTTCATAGTTCTTCAGAATTTCTGAATAATTTTATAATTCTTGAGAAAATTTCTCAGATTTTGCATACAAATTGGAACACTTTTCAAAAGTATCGAAAACATCTACATTTTTCTAGAATTTTTTATACATAAATTCTAAAATATACTCTAACATTTCTCATTCTATAGTTCCTAATAAAATCTTATAAGATCTAAAAAAAAGTTTAAGACATCTTTTCAGAAATTATATAAAATGAGAAATATTAGAATATTTTGGAATTTACATTTACGAAATAATTATTTTAAGAAAAGACGTACATTTTATCAGTATTTCAAAAAATCGTTTCAATTCGTATATAAAAATTTTGATAAAACTTTTCACTAGAGTTTATCTTTATTATATTATCTGCAATAGAACTATGTTGCGTCCCAGCTTATATATATATATAGTAAATATACGTTCCAGACAAAAGCATCGGTGTTGTGTTATTTTCTCGAGAAAACCCGCAACGTGACGTCGCATCGGGTGAGTTAAACGGATTATAGACGGCGCGTGAAACGAAGGTTAAACAACCCGACGAGGTAGCAGTCGAGGGGAACCATGGTCGTAAATGGCACATCGTAAAAACGGGGGAGGGCGGAGGAAAAGTGAAATATCTACCTCTAATATCTCGTCACCGATAAGAAGCCCGCCATTTTTGTGAGCTGCACCCTTTGGGTTGAGGCCGCAGATGAACACTGCCATTCGGTTTCTGTCCTTATGTCCTGCTAGAGAAATTCCCAAACCCCGCCGATCCTTTTCAAGGGTGACCATCAATACCCTGTGCCCAAGATTCTGGTACCTCTTCTGAACCTTCTCTGCAAAATTAAAAAGACATTTTCGTGTCTGGTGGGGATCGATCGGCCGCGACGTTAACCAACGAGTATCATTCGAAGCGCACACATTGGATTTTACGTATTTTAGAGCGATTTTAGAGCGACATAATCTAGTTATCTTTCATATCGATCATGCGGATTGATTGATTGATCGGAGAAGACACATAATAAAATTTATTATTAATAGAATTTCACTGTTATCAACCACCGAACGTGACGGAGTGATCACACAGAATGAATATCGACCTCTTCAGTGACGTAAATAGTATATAAATATCAATTTCCAATTGTTTCTGAATCGCGGTTTATATTTAGTACAGAATCGTCGTATGTTATAGTATAAACTCACTGGTCGTGTAACCGAACTCGTCCTCTTCCTCCGGATCCGCTTCGATCTCCGACTTCGTGCGCTTCACGTTTCCGGCGCTTCTCCGCGAGATCTAGACAAGTGATTTTTACTACGTGTTATTATCGGCTGCTTTCCTTTTAGGAGACACAAACGTCATTTTATCCTTCTTGACATTCAATGAATAACAAAGATAGAACGACATTTAAAGTCGAGTGTTTCTTTTAAAAGGAAAGCAACTATATCGTAGCACAAGTAAGAATTAGAAGCATCAGCTTTTGCTCGGGTTACCTCGATGCCGCTCTTCGTGTAGACGTTTCCCTCCAACATACGTGTGTCCTCCTCGTCCTCCGAGCTCTCATCTGAAGAGTACTTGGGCTTTTGGGGAGGCTCCGTGACGGCAGTCGCCGCATGATCCTCTCGTTCTTCACTGACCTCACGAAGGATACCCTGATTCACGGGTGGCGACGGGGCTGTTTTCCGAATTGACTTCTTCATGGAGGATCTAAGAGATACAACGTGCACTCAGGAAAAATCACAGCACTCTGGCATTGACTTTTCATGTAACGCGGAACACTTGTGCACGAGATATAACCGATAAAGAAAAAAAAATGCGCATTTATCGTAATAAATATAGATCCATGTAATTATGATGGTTTATTAAATAGCTTAGATAACTGAAAGTAAAAGAGAGTTGAAAATAAAGTTTATAATTTCTCTATAATTATACCTTCGCGCACTGGAAGTCAAGCCATCCGAACTTTTCGAACTTTGCCTCTGGGAATCCCCGCGCAAAACGCCGTCCTCGAATCCTGGCTACGCAACAAATAAATTGACATTTTCAGAAGTGGGAGATTAAAATCTCTTCGAACGTCAATGAAATATTATTCTTCTCCAAACACACACACACACACACACACACACACACACACACACACACCAACTATCAGTAACATAACATCGATATTTCCTATTTACAACGTTACATATATAATGTGTTATATTACATTTATATTGTTGAATGCACTGAAAAAAATTTATTAAATCCTAATACATATTACTTTAAATAATACTAAGTAAACATTTATACTTATAGTAAATAAATAAATAAATATTTATTTAATAAAAAAATGATATTTAAGTTAAATTAATTAATTTGATTCCTGAACCAAATAAATATATGTTTACATTCAAAATAAATGAGGTTTATTGTACAAAGTACCTTCTAAGATGATGTGCTTGCCAATTGTAATTACGTAATCCGTTAAGAAGCTATTTACAATTAGCAATAAATATCAAAAAGTATAAATTATCTATGTAAAATAAATGTTGTTATAAAAAAAAAGAAATTGTCAATAGGTCAGGCTTAAAGCTCATATGAGCAGTAAATATAATTATTCTTACGATCGCGCAGCTTGCATTAATTTAATTAGGACAAAAATAAACTTTACCGCAAAAACTGCAGTCAGCGATTCAATTAAAGGAATTAATTAGCGCGGAACACCGAGTGTCCCAACGCGCATTTCTCCCGCGCCATTTTGCCAATTAATGCGGCAATTGTGTTTGTTCCTTACACAGAAAGCTGAGGGAAAACACGAATCGCGCACCGCAATTTTTTAATTGATCGTGATGATATATATGAATATATAAATTATTGCGGTCGATCCTATTCACGTATTCAATGACAAGATAATCATTTACCAAAGATTTCGTTGAAATTTCGATAATTCCATTTATCGCAAAACTTTTTGACGTTTGTCATATTCAGAAATAACATAACATTTAAAATTCAATCATAAAATGTTTATGAAATCTTTATAAAAAGGATAACCACAAATAATCTTGTTTAAGGATGTACCAGATACAGTGTCTATAAAAAGTAATTGAAATTGGATACTTTCCGTATAAAAACATTTTATATATGTATATACATAAAACAGTTCAGGTCGATATTTTTTTCAATAATACAATTTTATAGTTTAAACTATAGAAATCAAAGCCTTAAACGGTCTAGCTGGATCTTAATACTTGTATGATTCTTATGTGAATTTATATACTACGTGTGTAGTCCCCAGAAACGCGCGCCGAAATGATTTTTCGGTCTTGAAACGCTAACTCTATTAAACTACCGCAGTAATATCACGAATTGACTAGCAATTTAACAAATTTTTTATGCTTATTCGCATCTTCGAAACGATTTTAATAATGTTGAATGACATATTAAAATCTGTAAATAATTAATTCTTATTGCAAAAAAATATTACCTCGGCCGGGAGTCGAACCCGGATCTCTTGCATTCCGTGCGAGCGTCCTAAGCCTTTAGACTACCGAGGCCTAGTAATATTCTTCGCAATAACTGTGCGCGTGTTTCTGAGGACTACACACGTAGTATATAAATTCACATAAGAATCATATAAGCATTAAGATCCAGCTAGACCGTTTGAGACTTTGATTTCTATAGTTCGTGTTATGACATAAAAGGTCCTATAATATATTATATTGTTTATAGTTTAAATTAAAATTGTTTCATTTTGTCTTAATTATTTAAAAAATATATGTATCTACTACTTATTGAAATAATTTTGGATCCAGGTTCTAAATTACCGCCAAACTTTTTATATTACTTTCAAATATGATGTAGAAAAATCTGTAATTTTTCCATTTTGTTGAAAATTTAATTTTGTTTAATTTTATCAATGTGTAATACATTCTTAACATTCACATAAACACATAACGATAATCACTATTAATCAGCGTTTGTGAATTTTTGAGAATAAAAAGTCAAATCGAGAACAGGTTATATAAACTATGACGAAACCGACCTGTATTACTTCCGGCGTGATGGATCTCGCGGGCGAAACCGGCGGTGGTTTATGGCGAAAAGAGGTCGTTGGCGTTCCAGGACTGACACCGGAAGACGACGATGTATGAGTCTTGACGGTTTGCCTTCGGGTTTTGGAATCCCTTTCCTTCTGGACGGCGCCGCCGTGCTCCGGACTCTGCAACAATTCCGAGATTCTATCTTCCACTCTGAAATCTTGGAGTTGCACACAAGCCAGCTTAAGTTCATTCCAATGTAACATTATCCCCGGCAGCGTTCTCGAAGCTAACGTTGCTTATTGCGTCAGAATATAACACAGCATTAGTATTTAACACAAAATTATTAACACGTAAACATACAAGCATTTTTATAACTTATAAACTTGTTACGATAATACACAGTACTATATATTAATTCAGTTTTTTCCATCAAATTCAGACAAAGAAAATAATAATGAAATAACAATAATATTTAAAACTTACATTTAAAATATTGCAACGTTTTCAATTTGAATTGTAAAATAGAATACATACACACAGTTATGTGTACACACACACACACACACACACACACACACACACATACACACGGCAAAAAAGCTAAATACTTTAAGAAAAAAAAGGAAATAGAAGTAGACAGCGAGAGGAAAATATATAGTGCAGATGGTCTCGCGCGGAGTTGTTTGAAAGAGATCTACACTTATTTTAGTAACTAGAGATAAACTATGCAGACCGTCTAGATAAACCAGAATGAATTAGTACAACGGAAATATTTGCTGAGCATCTTGAATTGTTGCCAAAGTAACTGCAATTGAGCGAGTTTAATTCCGTAACGTGTAAAACAGAATAACGCTGGATTCCCGCGATGTCTTCTTTTCCTTTTCACGATCAAAGGAGAAAATCAATCATTTTGAAAAAATTACGACTTTTTTTCATAAATACATAAATAGATGTAAAATGATAAATAGTCAAAGAAACTACGCTGTTAGAACGCAATAGCGATTTTTCATAATAAATAATACAAACATCCGTGCGAAAACATTGACTATAAAAATTATTTATGTATCCCATGTGTATAACTTTATTTCCTTGTTGCTCGTTTTTTTCGCTTGCATTTTTCGAAATAATCAACTGGAATACGCGGACAGGATATACATATTTTACTGGCTGGATATATAACAGGAACGAAAAAGCACCCGCGTCTGTTTTCGACAATCTCGACAAATTCGATGTAAATTAAATTAAGCACGATGTAACAAATTTTTATCACAGATGCAACAGTATTACATCGTTTTTAGTAAAAGCGATATCCTCACTCGTGTTCGTAGTTTTTCTATAACAGTCCAAACAATTCGTACAACTCATTTTGCTGATTAACGTCCTCTTTGTTGTACGAGATGAATGTACGCGAATGAAGAACTCTCTTATGTACACACACAAGAATATTATAATTAAAGCTGAATATATACATATATAGTAACACACGTGGACCAATCGGTCAAAGAAAATCGGTCAGCCTTGACTCTCGCCAACGTGGATTATTAAATTCCCTATTTTTCTTCGCTTTCGATCAATCAGAATGACGGAATGCGACACTCGTTTGCTCGCTTCCGCAACTTCTTTTGATATTACTTGGAACAATCAATTCCATTCTTCCAACAGAGCTTTCCAATAGAGCCTTCCAGGAGTACGCTCGTAATCTACATCGTAAGTCAAAGTAAACCCGATTTACGATGCGATTTACAATAGTGTGTGTACACACGGTTTTCGCGAACGCGATGCTGCATCGCGCGATCTCACGAGGCGATGCGTTGACGAGAGTTAAGAGAGACTGGCGCGAGTGTTCATGATAGTAGATGACGTAGATCGTCGAATTCGGATGAGAAGTGCCTCGATCTGTGCCGGCTGTGCGTTTCCGTTGATAACGTACGACGAAAGTGACGCATTTGCGATTCCGAAAGAATCGGTGCATCGCGACGCTTCGTGACGACTGAGCCGAGTGACATCAGGTAAACCGCCTCCGACCAAGCGGTTTCGTGCACGAAACTGAAGTTCCCGCGAGCGAGGGCGAGAGAGGTCGGCGAACAGGGGATGGCGCCGTCCGTGTTCATAAGGGGAGAGAAGGGGAAGTGGGCTCGTCGATGGTCCATGGTGTCGATGATGGGCGCGCTCGGTTGCAACGAGGTGAACCACTCTTTCCGGCGAACCGCATCAACTCACCCCGACTTTCACTGGCCATCGGACGAATGCAACCCTTTTCTCTCGTCGTCCGTTCTTTATCGATGAACTTTCTGAACCGATGCACACGGTGCGATAAATTGATATGAAATAAATATACGTTTATTTCATTTCAACTTATTGCATCGTGCGTACCACTTTAGAAAGTTTATCGATAAAGAACAGATTGACATCGCTTATGTCTATCTTCCCTTTTGCGTAAAAAAAAAAGTACGCGTTCAGTTGAGAAAAATCGGTAGTACAATTAGAATCATAAAAACCTGTTGTCTAATATTATTGTGTTATACGTGATTTTTTAAATTTTTTCAATGACAATAGTTCCTAAAATTCCATTTTCAATTTTGAAGGAAAACAGCGTAGAATTTAAGGATCAGATGTATGTAGTTTTTACAAAAAATGAATTGGAAATTTATATTTTTCGTATATATAATATATATATATAAAAATGAATATTATATGCATATGAAATAAGGTCAATATTTATATTTCACAATATACAGTTTTACAGGTTAAATGTAAATATTACTTTTTAAAAATATGTCTACTTCTTGTTGAAATAATTTTTTATTCGAGTTCTAAATCACCGCCAAACTTTTTATATTTTTTTCAAATACAATATAAAAAAATCTGTAATATTTTCATTTCATCAATTTTTGTATATTCCGTTAAAAAATACGTGCAATACATCCTTAAATATAGTGCTATCAATAATATATATTTTATATACAGCTTAAGTGTAATGGAACTTGCGTCTTTTGACGTAGTCATTGGATCACGGATATTATCTAAATGCGTCCTTATAATACCAGCTTCTCATCCCTCGTCTCCCGTGTTTGTCCTGATTTTACATATCTCCATTGTGTGCCCCCCTCTCTCTCTCTCTCTCCTCCTCTTCACTTCCCCTCATCGTAGAGATTTATTGGAAAGATCGACCGGGTGTATCATACGCGTACAAGGGCTGTTCGTCAATAATGGTTCTCATGTTCTAGCTCTTTCTTCCTCCACTTATCTCTCTTGTGCTTTGCCTTGTCCTCTCTCCATTCTTTAGCGCCTTTACCGCTCCTTCTCTTCCTCTCGTTTTCTCTCTCCATTCACCAATTCATTCACGATCGCGTACATGTATCTCGATATCGCTATTCTCTCCGCATCGGCGGTTTCGACAGAATTGAGCACACGGCCGATTGAAATTTCGGGGAAAGTCAATGTCGTTTTCAGAGACTGCCAATCGCGGACTGTGCATTTCGCCAACCCTCCGTGGTTGCAGCAAACAGGTGTTATTGTGGGACCTGACACTTACGTTGAAGTGGCACTTAACAATGTACAAACCAGGTAACGAACTTGTCTTTCTCCCGTGTTCGTTTCAAGCTAATTTCGAGGCATCAAAAAATAGTCCGTGCTCTTCGGTGAAGCCAAAAATAACACGACGGTTGTCGATGATCACGATTGCATGAAGGAAGTTATATTAGGCCCCGGTAGTTCGCTATTGAATAACGTCAATACATGTCGATGCTCGGTGTTAATTTTTAGCCGTCGGATAGCGCTGGACGCGAAGGCCATGTCATAGTCGTGACAGATTGTTATATAAATTTTTTTCATCGATATTACGAGCTGGTTCGAGGTACTGCATCGCTATTGTAATGACTAAAGTCCGGTTCTTCTTTATTCTGGTTAATTGATGGTTTTCTAACTTAATATGGTAATGTAAAAACTGTGATTTTTCAGCTGTAATTAATTACTAAGCTAATGATGTTGTACACCGAAAAAAAAATACAACATTTTTATAAATATTTGTTTGAATAGTTTTAATTAAGCAAATATTTATTAGACGTAAACATATTCATTTGATGCAAAAATCATTAATTTGATTCAACTATTACTTTTTTATTGAGTAAACATTTATTTCCTGTAAGTAAATGTACTACTATTCAAAGAAATATATATTAAAATTTATTAAATTTTTTTCAGTGTAATATAGTAACTTTAAAAATTATTCGTTACAAAATCATCGAGTTCAGTGATTAACCACATAAATAGAAAAATACAATTTTTAAAAATATATAAAATGAGGCTCGAAAGAATCTATCAGTCAAAAATAATAAAAAAGCCCGTCAGAGCCTACATCAGCTATTCGGATGCACAGAAAACACTTTATTTTTATGTGAATATAACAAATCGAATCAAATATACGTTTTGACCCTTAAATTTGGGCTTTTATCAATATAACATATTAACCTAATTACATATAGTTAACGCAATTTTCAAAATCCCGACAATTTAGTTCGATTTTCTTTATCCAAATGCCAAATTAGATAAAATAAAACCAGAGTCAAGTACATTTTGCATCAAAAGTAGGATCACATCGCTCATCGAGAGAGAGAGAGAGAGAGAGAGAGAGAGAGAGAGAATTGTCAGATTTAACGTTATCTCTATAACTGTCGACACCACAAGACCTTTACGTCGAGTCGCTTACATTAAATCTGACAATTTGATGAGCGATGTGATTCTACGTTTGACGCAAAAAAAATGTACTTGACTCCGGTTTCATTTTATCTAATTTGGCATTTGGATAAAGAAGAACGAGCTAAATTGTCGGGAGTCGTAATTTTGGAAATTGCGTTAACTATGTAATTAGGTTATATTGATAAGGGCCCAAATTTAAGGGTCGAAACGTATATTTGAATCGATTTGTTATATTCACATGAAAACAAAGTGTTTTCTATGCATCCGAACAGCTGATGTAGGCTCTGACGGGCTTTTTTATTATTTTTGACTGATACAATTTTTACATTATCATCAGGTTAAGCTTAATCACAAATTAATCAGCAAATGAAAGACAGGATCACGCAAACATTGGCACGTGCGAGCATGGAGAAGCGCGTTAACAATCAAATGTTAAATTTATATTATCGTGTAACATCAAACATGCACATCCGCGATCTTAGGATACCAATGCAAGAAAGGCGAGAGAGCTCGACCCGGCGTATCTGTTTGAAATCGTAAAAATTCGCGATCGCCGGATAAGATTTGCGATGGCGCGGTAGTATAATAAAAGTCGCCGAGCGGTGGAATTGTTTTTGCTCCGCGAAGTTTCTCGGGGTCTGTTCCGTGTATCACCGCATATCGCTGTTTATTGCTGCATATCTCCGTATTTTGCAAGTACCGCGACACAGTATCCCGAATCCAGCGTGTTTCCCGCATCCAATTTCGTGTAATGTGTCTATCGGCGACACTTTGGAGGCAGACGACGTTAAACGGCGAAGCGCCTAGGGCCGCTGCCATTCAACGACATTACGGAGTTCAATTTCGCCCTGCGTGGGGCGTCTGATGACGGCGGTAACGTCCGGTTAGCGGAATCGATCGTTCGGGTACGGGTTAATTGCGAGGTGAAACTTTCGTGCTTTGTAAATCGAGTCAGCTCAGCAGTGCGCGGATTTATAATGGCAACCTCGTCGAAGGTCGTAGCAAAATCTGGCTTTCCGTTTGCCCGTAAATTGTCATTAAATGCACAAGCGGAATAATCCTTAGATTACATTGTGAAATGTCAGAAGTACGAACCGTTAGAGACGGAAAGATAGAAATTGGATTATAAAAGTTTATTTAAATTTGATATCTCAGGTTTTGTTCATGATTGTGTACCAAGAAAAAAACTTCGGCGCGCGATTTCTAGAAGTAGATATGTATATAAGTTCACGCAGAAATATTTAAGTATACCCCAAGGAATATATAAAAGTCAACAAAAAATTCGAGATGATTTTATTTTGATTCTTGATGTCGATAAAAAGTCAACTTTTGTAACAATCATTATTTTGACATTAAAATAAAGTTATTTTAATTTTCTGTTGATTTGGTGTATTCCTTGGATATAAGATCTGTTTTAATCGAAAAATAGAATTTTTCATATTTAATTAAATTTAAATTTGTATAACTGAAAAAATTAATAGCAAGAGAACATTTAATTAAGAGGACATTAACAACATATTACAGATATTCTCAAATAATTTGATTACCGAATATATTAAAGACAACTCGACAAGTTATCTCCATCGCCTATTAATTAATATCATGTCTTAATAAGCTTTGACTGAAAATACCTACTTGGCACACACCAGCCGTATTTTAAATTACTCTCCCGCAAAGATTACTTAACGTAAAAGAAAAAGTACATCGTGAAAAGTTGCAGACTATAAAACGACATGTAACGTAAACGTTACGCGAGCTACTGGAGCAATGTCGTAAATTTCAGTGGCTGTAAAGGGTTTAGCTGCACATCGTGAATTTATTTCCCTCAGGAATGTGGAGTCTTTTTCATGAGCAGGAATAAGGCTTACTTCCAATATAACAGACCTGCAGGCAAGCAGCGCTTTTAAAAAAAAATATTTATATTCACTGGCCATGATTAATCTGTCTTTTTATAAAAATGAAAGAAGCATGAAAGAACAAAGTTAATAAAAAAAGTTAGTATTCTCCCAGATCGTCAGATTCACATCTCGTCATTATAATATATTTCGCATAATTTTCCAACGAAAAAGTGGAAGACATCGATGGAAAAATAAAAGACCTCTTCGAGCGATAAGAGGAGGAGCGTTCAAGAAACTTTTGTAACAACGTTAAAGCCAGCTGACAAACTCAAGCTCGAGGAAACGGGCAAAGTGGAAACATCGATATTCCGGATCGTGATCAAGAGCTTACCAAATTCACCAAGGACTGGACGAGAAGGCTGACAGGATTTCCGGCAGCTTGTATAACTTCCACCGCACGCTCATGTGTACTATGCCGCAGGTCGACGCCGTCCACCTCAATTATTCTATCTCCAATCTGAAAGCACGCGCGTAAGAGCGAATTAAGTCCAGACATGGTCGAGATAGGTCGCGGCAATTGTATTAAATTTTCACACATTCATGAATGCTGTTTAAATCAAAACGCTCGCGAATTGAGAACGAAAGAAACACGGTGAATGCAGTGATAGCATTAAGATCGTAAAATTAAATTTATTTTTACGAAACAAAAATTACAGAGCAAAGCGCGCTGAGCGTCTACACGTTTAAATTAAAACATGTTTGCGTTTGCACAAATGTAAACTTTGGCTGTGATAAAATCTTTATTGAGGCAAAAATCGCGTAGTTCTCTTCTTCCAGCTTTATTAAAGTTTTTATGTTTTTGCAAGTTCCTGGAGATGCAGGAACTGGATGGAGAAATACAATTTCCGCGGTCGATGGTAAAGGGAACCGTTTCAAGAAAACTGTATTACCTTGAGACCGCCGG